AACAGTTCCTGTGCAATTATCCTACGAAAGGTTCCTGAATGTTTACATGTATATAAAGGTCTTATTGTTACTCTGTACCAGTAATTGCTCAAACTATACTAGTTCCTTGTTCACAAAAACACTCTGATAAAGCTACTTGTAAAATGCTATATTTGGAGTCGTGGAGGGGAAAATAGGTAGTTTCAATCCACTGCCTGATGGGAAATGAATAGTCTGCATTATTTATCATCCACTGACTACCTTCCTTGTGCTTGCTAATGTGTGTTTGTGAGGGGGCATTTTTGCCTGTGCAGCTTAAACTGTCTGCCCATGTTTACAGTTGATGATTGTTCATGTGGAAAAGAAGTACAGGAAGGTCTTAAAGCTGGAACATGAGCAAGCATTCTGGTCTGCATAGTTTGGAACATGGGAACATGACCTACATCAGATCAGATCATTGGTTCCTTGAGCTCTGTATTGTCAACATGGACTTGGCAGAAGCAAAGGGGTCTTTCCCAGCCCTGCTTGGAGGAATTGAACCCGGGAACTTCTGCAGGCTACACATGTGCTCTGCAGGTGAGATACCGCAGCAACAGTGAAACATTCACATTCAAATAACCAGGGTTCCCTGCAATATGTAATGATCAGTAAAGGATTTCCCACTTTCATGTATATTACTGTAATACTCAGGTAATTACATCATTTGCAAGAGATAACTGGTGATAACTACCATGTTGGTCACTGCACCAGTAAAACCACAGGGTGCTACATATCCACAAGATTTTCCATTACACAAGATTTTGCATTCACAAAAGGCTACTTTAAATGTCAGGTGTGCAAATGCTGTCAAGAGACCATCAAGATGCAGAGTAATTATACTTTTGTTAGCTTCCAGATTCAATTTTAACAATAATTTACATTATATTATATAATTTCCAGGATTTTAACAACCTCAATTTGTTGCAGCAAAGCAACCATCAGTCTATCACACAGGTTATGCTGTAAACTTTTCTGGGATCCCTGATCCAGTCCTTCCATGCTACAGAGAAAGCTGACCTGCTTTATGAAGCCTGCCCAGTTGGAACACAGAAAATGATGTCTGAAATAAAATGGTGTTGCAAGATGTCATGACTTTCTAAAGTGCCATCTCTAGCAGGGCTGGGGACTACATGGGTTCCAATTCAGGTCTGTGTGCACATTTGCACACATGTTGGGGGGGGGGTGTACCAGCCACCATGTGGGTTCTGGTACAGGCAGCAAATTTTCTTTGGCAGGCACTGTGATGGACTACAGATGCCAGAATAAATGTAATAGTCTTTATGATGACAGAAAACTCTTGGTTGTTGCATGATTCACATTAAAAGCTGGTCTTGCATGGTGATTCAATATGTGAAATGGGAATTCCCTGCTTCAAATTCAGCCATGGGTGCACTTGGTAAGTCATTGTTTCTCAGCTTACTGTTCCAATTGCACTGTTACTGAGACAATGCATATTCAAGCCTTTAAGACAAGCACAAAGGAACAGGGCAAAATCCAACCAAAATTCAGCACTATTAAACTTTGCTCATCCAAATTAGAAAATTAAGCACACACTTAAATATCTCCCTTTGAAAATAGCTGTGTTTAAAACAACTTAGGTTTGCCTGCATATTATCATTATTTCTATATCAGCCCAGTATTTTGGCACTTGACATACCCATAATAGATCCCCACAGTTTCAGAATTCAGATCTATCACTAAAAGTGATCTATGTACTTCCAAGTTGTAGCGACATTAGCATAAGGTTGAATTCCAGTCAGGTTGTAAAGTCTGGAGTCAATGTGGATCAAGAACATGACCAAAGGGACTCTAGAGATGACTAAAATTGTTGCCTAAGCAGGAGGCCACAAAGAGGTGTGGTCTGGGCTGGTATTTTAAGCTCAGTTGCCCACTCACAGACCCAGCACGCCATACCACACTGGCTACTATTACCTTTACTCTCCTTAGAAGAAAATCAGGAAAAGATCAAACAGAAATTGTTTCAGAGTCCAAGTGGACATGATAAGACCATCATAATTTAGCCCCAGAACAGCAGAGGTATATTCTGGGATATATGGGACAAAGGAGAGAATTCTGTACCTTGAGTCCTTGGATGATGGTGGTGATGATGACAAATCATATATTAATAGTAATAATGGCAGCTAATGTGGTGTGGTGGTTAGTGCCTGAGTAAGCTGCCTTGGGTTCCTTGTAAAAGGAAAAAAGGCAGGGTGGTAATGTAATGTAATGCATTATGGCATTACTAGTAATAATATTGTGGAATTCCAAAAGTACACAAGATTTTCATTCTGGTTCATTCTACTATTTTAGATAATACTGCACTTTCATTGCTCTAAAAAGCAGCAGAAGTGCTTGGAAAGCACAGGAGAAGCCCTACAGGATTACAAAATGTTATATGAAGCACCCACAACCTTCTGTGAGTGAGGAATCATGGGTGCACAATAATGGCCTCACGTAGAGAAGGTAATTTGCCTATCACCCTAAAACAAACGCAAGTATTTCCTCAATTGTGCTCTACCACAGTTCCACCAACATATGGGAGGGCAAGGAAAGAACAACCTTATGGGAAAAAATTGCATGCACACGAGCCAATCTCAATCCACAAAAAATGTTGAAATGGAAGCAATGGTAAAGTTGCAGGTTAAAGGCCACAGGTAGGGAAGCCTTGTAAGTTATAGGGAATGGTTCAGGTCCTTCCATTTACATGAAAGTGTTAAAATTAGTCTGTCATTTACTTATCCATCTACTTACCTACCTGCTTTTGTACATGCATGAGGTAAATCATTAATGGAGCACCCCTAACTGTTGGCCCTTAGGTCTCAGAGGGCCTTCCTCACCCTAATGCCCTCCACATGTGTTAGACTAGCTACAGGATGATGGGAGTTACAGCCCAAAATACCTGAGGGGCAGCAGGTTGAGGAAGGCTGGCATAACACAGCCCATTTTCAAGCAAGGAGTTAAACTGAAATATCAATTGGACAACTATGCCATCCTCATTTTCTTCTCCTCAGGCTTTTCTCTGCAACCAGCCAAACTGGGACAGAAGTTCACATCAGCCTGATTCAAAGCGGAATGGGGGATGCCAGGTTGCTGCTGCTGCTGCTGCTACGGAAAGCTGGACGCAGTGTCTGGCTTCAAGGAAAATTTCTGCAGCAGTGCTGCACGTGTTACAGGCTTCCTCCCCTAGGATACGCCCACTGCAGCAGGGTGTGTGGTTCTGTTGCTGTATTTCACATCCTGTTGTGGGCAAAAGGTTGCTTGCTTTCTGGCCTACTGAGGTGAGAGCAGGAGCTCAGGAGGAGCAGTTTGCATGCTCCTGGACAGCCCCTGAGCTTTGGGGTTTCAGGGTGCCTCCCTTCTTACAAGGCAGGCAGTGCTGCATTCAGGCAAATTTTACACTAGGCTTGGCACTCCAAACATTTTGTTTCCTCCAGTGACTGCACTCTAATGAACTGAGAGACGAGCCCTAGGACATTAGAAGGTACTTTCAGAGGCAGCTCTTGGGCAGTGTGATTCCAGGTCTGATAAAATGTGGGCACCAGGAAGAGGCCCTTCCCTACCCTGGCAGCCTTTGGATGTGTTGGACTACTACTCCCATACTCCCACGGGCACCTGGGGAAGGCTGAGACACAGTCATGAACAGCACCCACTTGCCCTGAACATCTGGTGATGCACATTCCTAGGGAAGACAAAAAGCATCGTTCAAGATGGACCCCTTCCCCAACAGCTAGGAAGTGATGGTACTGTTCCCTCTCTTATTTCAGGCTCCCTGGACATGACACGGTTGGCATCTGCTCCCTGCCAAGTCAGGTGTCACCCTCTCTGACCTTTCAGGCACTTCCATCTCAAACCAGGGGATATGGCAATCCTACTTTGCCCAAGTCAGATGTCATGGAAACCAGGGAAATACCACAGACCACGGACACAAATCAGGAAGTGCAGGAGGCAGTCAGCACACAGGGGAGTGGGGGAAGGGTACCTCAGGCCATAGCATGTTCCTGCCTGCCCATCCACGAGTTGTTCATGACCTCTGAACCTGCCATCATTTTCACAGACAAATGGTTTGCTACATGCTACACAGTATGTTTGTTTGTTGTCAAAGTCAGTGGATGGTAAATTATTGTTTGCTTCTATATATAGCTCATTTCAAATATTTCCTGCCAGTTGCATTCACTGAGCAATACCGTATTTTGCCAGAGCCAGAGAGGATATTTAGTTTTGGAAGGTGTGCATCTACTTTCTCAGGACTTAGTAACATAGAAACCGAGCGAGACAGAAGAGGCCTCCCGGGCCATCTAGTCTGATCTCCGGCTCCAGCCGGCTCTGCTCCCGACATGCCCACCATGTGCGACTTAGGTTAGAACATTTTTTTGCATGGTCATGGAAGCACATAAAACAGCAAGGACATGAGATTTAAATGTTCCGCATACCTGAGTGTTTTCTGTACAGGTGTCTAAAGACATCTACCAGACACACTTACATTCTTAGCAGATTCTTAGGATATTAAAAAAAATCTTTTCTTTTTTCAAAAGGGATGTTTCTAGCCCTTGTGATTGCAGATAAAGAATTTAACATTTGTAGGCACTGCCTGGTTAGGGGAACAGTGAATTAAGCACAGTTCACCAATGGTCGATTGTGGTGCTTCAGTACTTCTACAACTGCTTGGTCTTTCTTCCTCACTGCTCTTCTCTAGCTTCTCTCTGTATGCCACATCTTTGCAAATATACAATTTTTAAATCATTATTTGAAACAGAGCTCTTGGAAGCAGAATGACAGTTGCAGCAAGAAAATAGTATTTGGGTCACTCAAAACTACCTTGCTCTGTCTGTTCCTGTGTAAAAGCCAAGGCAAACTGAGAGTCCTTAAGAACTAGACAGCACCGGTGCACAAAGTCAGAGGCCAGATTATTACTAGACATACTGAGTCTATGACAGCCATGCTTTTGTCAAAAAGATGGATGAAGTAGCATGAACTAAACAGACCTTTGCAAAGTCCTTCACATCGAACAGGTCAAAGACTTCGAAGAGATCACTCTTGCGCAGACCAAACTTCTCACAGCAGGTGGCAAGAAAGGTTCGGATGTTCTTGAGACACAGGAACTAGAAGAGAAAGCAAGGAAGGGGCATAAGGTGGTGAGTATCACGTAAGACTTAGAAGCAGCCCCTCCACATAGCTCAGTCTAGCGAGTATGCATTTAATTCCATCACACCAGTGGCTTGTTCTTTCTCTTGAGCACTTCCTGTTGGATTGCACCAGGTTTTCCTTAAGTTTGAATCCAACTGTCCAGAAGTAGCACTGATCAACAACAGACTCACCTTTGCCCAACAACCCTCCTCCCCCCATTGTATTGCTTTAATAATGTACCTTAAGTTTTCTTCTACTCAATCTGCTGCGTATTTGAAACCAGAACTTCACAGCACAAACTGAGCTACAGCAAAGTTTAAAGCAGATCACATGAAAGTGTTCGCTAATATTTGTGAATTTCTAGATGAATGTGCCAGAGCCATACTGCAAGATACTGCAGGGAACTGTAACACAGTGCTACATAATCTTTTAATACCTTTTATTCTGTATTACCTTGTATAACATTGTAGTTATTTTATTGTTTTTATCTATTTTATTGATTGCATTTTTATATGCTGGTTGAGCATCTTGTAAGCTGTCCAAAGAACCCTTAGGGTATGGGGCGGCATTGAAATATAATGAAATAATAAACAAACAAACTTCTTGTGTGGGTTCTGTTCCACTGTGTTACAGTTTTTGGCACAAAAAGCAGAAGCTGAGAAAAGCCAGAAACTAAAAGGTACTTATAAATGGATTGCCCTTGCACTTTCTGAACTTTTGCACCAATCAGCTATAAAACTGGAAGAAAGGTATGACTAAAAAAGTTGTTCATCTGTGAACTCAGGAAGAAAATGGCAAAAAAGCAAACCTATCAGGTATGCAACTGACTTCTCCATCTAGTATGTATGGGGATGTACAGCTGTTTCCCCAGCACGTTCACTTCTTGCAAAAAGTGCTGAGTGGCATGGCTGATGTTGGCAGGCACTTGGCATCTTTTCATCACCATGCTTCTCAATGGCAGTGCGACATTGCAATGTCACCACATGATCCATAACGCTTGACAGGAAGGGCAGGTAGTCAATTCCAATTCTTTCCTCAGCCCCGCTCACCATCCCCAGAATGGCACATGCCACACACCTCTCCAATCCAAAAAGAGAAGTGGGTCTGGCCATACCCCGGCCCCTCCCTCTGCTTCCCTAGAGCGGCAAGAGCCTTAGGGAGGCCAAGGAACTAGGGCGTTCTCCTCTGCCCATCCTCTGCCTCCCGTCTCACCACAGAGACTATTAGCACTTGCAGAGCAGAGCAAGCCTGGCCACACCACCTGTTGCCCTGCCTTTGAGGTAGGAAGGACACCTTGCTCCCTCAAAAGACATGTGTCAAAGCAGACATCTCAAAAGTGCACTACTATAAAAGGGGCTTCCTCGCTGAGGGCCTTTGGTGCACCCGAGTAGAAACTCCATGCATGCATTCACTTTCATTCAACATCCTGTGCGAACACATTACTGGTGGTCCATATATCACTCAGGGTCTGTGTGATCATGGCTATTTAAGCAAGAGCTGCCTGTTTGAGCACTAATGTTGTGGGGGTGCAACTTGTTCAAGCTGCTCAATTTGTATGTCTTCTTTGTGATAACTCCCCCCACAGCCCCAGTCTAGGAGACATTTAGCTGCAGCTGAAGAATAATTCTAGACGTGATGAAAGCAGGCCAATTTCTTTAAACTTAGGTCTGTCCGAATCATCTACAAGGCATAGACTCTTAGGCATAGGATCCAATTTTAAAAGCAAAATGGGCACCTGTTTGAGGGGTACTTAATCTCCCCCTTCCATAACTTACCTCCTGTCATCTGATGCCTGAACTTCTTTGTTCCATCCACCCTTTCTTTCAGTACTAGGAAGCAGCCCAGCTGAGGAAGTGTCCAGGCAATGGACTATGGGGAGGCAGGCTGTGGGAAGGGCTCCATTCCTCCATGTGCTATACTTTGCTCTTACAATAAGACACCATGCTCCCCATTATATAGGGTTGAGGTAGTCTTGGGTTTGGCATGTTCCAATCATGTCTACTTGGAGCTGAATGGGTACAACTTAGATTAGGATACTGTACCTGCAACATTTTGCCATCCCAGGTAACCAGGAATATCGGCATCAAAATATTGTCATGTGGAGTGCTCCTTTTCAGGATTCCAGCCAATGAGTCATGCCTTTTTCCAGGATACTCCATTCCAGTCTCCCTCTCCCCAGTTCCCTATTCTTCCCCAAAACATTTTATAATCTGCACCACGGAGCATATTCAGTTATCCTTCATCTGTTTGGAGCATCCTCCCTTTAAGGGATTCCCTGTCTCTAAAGACCTGGTTCTCCTGAGACTGCTGATAATTCCTTCTTGAGTATGGATGGTGCCAATATAGATCCATACTTTTGAATGAATTTGCTATTAATACACAGAATCCCACATTTTCCAAGAATTGCACTTTTTTTTGCCTATATGCAGAAGAGATCCATAAAGAACCATATAGTGTGCTTGTGCTGTTGGGCCAGCCAAAATTTCACCAGCATCCCACATCTAAAACCAAAAACAGTTTGTTCAGGCAGATCCAGAAAAAGGGGAGAATTCAACAGGATTGTTATACTTCTGCCAATTGTGTTGCACTCATGCAATGGAGAATTAGCAGTTCTAAAAGTCACCCCAGAAATGAATGGAAACACTTGGTTTTGGATTTGAACATCTGCGACACCTGCTGACATGGTCCATTGCAGTAACAAGCATCTCCTTGCATTTTAGGTGGCTTTTGCCATTTCTAACTTCCTCTTGTGCAATTGGTCAGTCCCATTGGTTGAAAGACTCAATACAACATGCCTCCAGGTCTCAGATTATTTGTATTATGCCTTCTGTTATGACAGGATAGCCTGACATGTGGGGAAGGTGTTGTGAGAAGCACAGAATGAGGTGCAAGGGCCTTGCTTCCCATCTAACACAGCCTCCTGCTCCATGCAGACAGTGCAGAGTTTGAGCATCATGGCCTCCCACCCTCTGCTTGTGGCCTTGCAGTGAGACACATTATTACTTCAGCTACAGTGAACAAAAGGTGATTCCCGGTTGCCTATCAGAATGTGCAGCAATTCTGAATCTTTTTCCTTAATTTGTTTTTCTGCACCAAGGAAAAGGATAGAAGAAATAGTGGAAAAATATACGAAATATATCTTTTCTTCTCTTTCCACAGGCTCTGAAACTGAAAACCTTTTATCTTTACATAGGTTTTTTTTTTTTTTTACCAAAATTCACAGGTGACAGAATAGTATAAATCAGAGTAGCATTTTTCCTGAGATGTGAGAGAAGCCTCTGAGGATGTAAAGCAGTGAATCCAAGCTGAAACATCCCTTTTTTCTCTTCCTCAAGCAAAGCTTCTGATCCACCCTTAGGGCTACTCCTGGTGCTTGTGGGCTGGACAGCAGAAATGCCAGACACTTCTTAATAAGTCTGCTTGCTTTGCCTCTCATGGCCTGACCAGGACAAGGAGTTTCTCCTGCATCTCCTCCTATTCTAGTTCTGGAAAGCACCCCGCCCCCCTTTTCCAAGGTAGGGTGGTTCTCATGCTCTGCCTGATAATCTTCACTAGGTAACCTCGAGACAGGCAAGGCCTCCACTCCCATCCCCCACTCACCTCTGAATCAGACTAATCTATCTGAGCAGACAGTAATGTACAAGAGGCAGCTCCCCTCTTGACAGAAGGGTTACAGGTAGAAGATTGTGACATCTGGATGCCCTGTAAAATTCTGTAAATGAGAGTGATGACATGATAATGGCCTTCTCTGGAAGCCTAGTGAAATGGCTGCCCTTCAGGAATTAATCTATAATGCATTTCTTGTAGAACCTTAGGAACTGTAAGCCTGTGATGATGGGACAGAAAAGACATCCTAGAAAATCTTTGACTTTGAGACAGTACTAAAAAAGGTATGCCTTCATCCTAGGTAACCACACTGAGTTTTAAGGTAGGGAACTAAGATTTTTTCCCCTTTGCTATTTTGGAAGGGCCTCTGCTCTACACAATAACATGAAAATGCTTCTCATGAGCTCATGAGGGGTCCTTAGAGACTGCCCACAGTGCAGGTGATCTCCAGCAACATTCATCCCACAGTGCCCGATTCTGAGGAACAACCCTTCAGAGTCAGAGATGTGGGCCAGGCCAGCTCTCCAAAGAGGGGCCTGGGCAGTTCTCACTTCTGACTGACACAGCTCTTCAGAGAACAGCAGTAAGGTGGGAGATGCAACACAAAGTGGAGCGCTGAAGTGGGCAGGGTATTGAGGTGTACCAGGTACAACCCAGGTGCAAGGTGACCAAGCAAAGTGAGATGGATGCAGCGGATGGGTAGCACTCTGACCCACTGTGCTCTCCTGCCTCAGGCAGTGGAAGAGCTTGTGCAAATGCTGGCAGGGTCGGACCAAGATGCTGCCCATCTGGTCACTGGGCTCCTCTAGCTAGAAAACATCTTAGTGTAAACTTTGAGCTTCTCCACACCAGACATTTAGTGTGTGCTCATGAACTCTCACTCACAATAGTTTGTGGGATGATGTTGTCAACATACAGGGCCTCTCCCTGCTTTACAGTTACTTTCTCATCTTTTTTAGAGCAAGGAAAGTCAGATACAGTTTCCTAATCTCATGATAAGAAGGCATTTTTGCAGTTCTGCTATATCACAGTACTATCTTGCTGTTGTGCAGTGGAATTTAAGAAGAGCAGAAAAAGAAGAAACCCAGGGAAAAAAATCCAGCAAGAAAGCAGCAGAAGCAGCCTTGGTAAAGCTGCAGGTTAAAACTTTCTTGTTAAAGAAGTCCTTTGGAGGCCTGAGATCTTCACCAGCTACGTATATGATTACAGTGAAACAATTATACTGAAATAGGTACAAGGTAAGCAAAGGCAGCTTGGAGACAAAATAATAGGAGTGGCCTTTTCAGCAGAGAATAGGACATCTTCAAAAAGAAGTATAAGGCTTAGCCAAGGGACACATTTGTAAAACTTTCTTATTTTGGTCACATAT